TGAGACCAGACTTAGGCTTAAAGCCGGGCCTGCTTCTTCACTACAGAGCTCCCAGTTGACTGAGTTGCCTAGCCCCTTCCCACCAAGAAGCTTGAAACACAGTTCTTTTTGCAATCGCAAACCCGGTACTGACTCAGAAGCACAGGGCAGGTACCCGAGATGTACGCAGAAGCCTGCTGACGGCACTGAGTGCTGACTGAGAACATCCCCAGCCTCCTTTATCCCCCTTTAAGCATCCCTCTGACCACCATGCTTTTGCTCCCTGTTGTTCGTGGACATGGGATGGGGCCCAGGAGTCCTCCCCCAGACCCCAGGAGGGGACAGGGGACAGCATCAGAGCAAATCCCTAATGGATCCTTCTAACTCCTGTCAGGTGCGAGGCTGGCATTGGAAACTAAACTGTAAATATATCTATTTTCCTTTATCGGTCTCTGCTTTCTAGTTTCTTTTGGGATACAGAGAATTTGAGGTATCAGATCATGGATGGACCTGCATGTTGGTAGCAACATCTTCAGGAAATAGGGGAGCTGGGACTGCAGGCTGAGCCCACAGTCAACCTAATTCTATTCTCTCCCCCACCCCCACCCCCAGCCCGATTCAACCAGAAACCTGGAAGACTGAGGCACACAGAACTCTGAGCTCCTGCCCGCAGCTCCCACCCACACCACACCCGTGTCTGCCGGGACCCTGCATAGAAACGAGGAAAGCACCCAGCACAACTGTTCAGAGATCCCCAAGACCCTGTGAGGTGGTCCTCACCTTTGCCAGGTAGCATCACGGCCAGTCCCTTCCTCAGGGTGCTCCAAGATGAAAAGATTCTGAGAGGTCCTACCACAAAGTCTCCGTGCTCCCCAGAGGCAATGTGGGTCCCGGACTGGTCCACAGCCGGGCTCTGCCGTGACAGAGTTCCCCAGGCCTGACACTCCTAAGTACTAAGTTTACAGAAACGAGCTCAGAACCTTTCTTCAATACCCCTCCTATTCACAAGTCACGTTCACTTCCTAAGACCGAGCGAGGGCCAGTAACGTTGCTTAGCAGATAAAGAAAGGTACTTGCTGCCAAGCCTGACGGTCCCGGTTGGATCCCTCTGACTCACATGGTGGGAGGGAGAACCAACTGACCTGCACGTGTTTTTACAAGTTAACTTTTAATTGTCTCTGATGCTCACTGCCACCTTCTGTTAACCTAGGCCTAGTGCTGGAAGTGTAGTGTATGGAAAGCTTCTAGCTTTTGTACAATCTAATCTCAGCCTAGAATGTTTTCAGCCTTTGAGACTATTTATTGAATAAGCTCGTCCTTTTCTAGTTCTTTCTGAACTCTGGCTGGCTGGTTCAACTCAGGTGTTCTGGCTCAAAACTCCTCTCCAAGCTGACTGCTTCAATCTGGCTCCTCTCTCAGCCTCCCCTGAATTGTTCTGCTTGGTCTCAAACTGAAACTGCCAATCTGTTCTGATCTTCTGGATCCTTCCCATTCTCTGGCTCACTCTGTCTTCACTGTGTCTACCTTGTTCTCTCTTCACTTCACGTTGTCTCTGTACAATTGCCCCTTCCCCTTCCCCACCCCACCCCCATTTCTTTTCTGTGCTTCTTTCTGCCTCTTTTTCCTGTCCTCTGGAGAGTTGGGCGTATCCTATTTCTGATTCATTCTGCCAAATCGTTCTCTGATTTGTCACTTTGTCTGCCACTCAATTAGACTTCACTTCCTTCTACAAACTCAACTTTACCTTCACTGTTTGGGATTAAAGGTGAGTATCCTGGGCGTGTCTGTATTCCAGCCAGAGGGATTAAACGTGTGCTAAGGTTGAACCACACCACAACTAGAAACTGGTATTTTCAGTACATAACACAATCTTGGGGTTCACAGTGTGATCAAAAACCCTGCAACATGTTTCACACCTGCACAAATAAATAAATGTAAAACAGACATGTTCAAGAAAGATAAAAAGGTGGGCTGACACCAAGCTTGGGCAAACTAAAGGGTCTTCCCTAGAGAGCAGCCACTCCTACAGAGCAGGCACAGGCATGGGGCGGTTAAGAGGCCTCAGAGAAGGGCAGGAGTGGGCCAAATCGGGGTGGGACCTTCACCATCCACCACTCAACTGGCCTTCGTCATCGGGGAAATTCTCTACAGCTTGGCGTTCTAACCCAGGGCATGGAACAAATAGCACCTGTTGCTTCTCCCTGCCCTTGGAATCTCAAGGTCAAATGACTGAGCACCCTGCTCAGACCTGCCACACACAGATCAATCCTTCAGCCCCAACTCTGTGACAGGAGCCCTGGATTCCTAGAATGAAGATGCATAGACTGCTGGGAGCACCCCGTCTCCCCCCCCACACACACACACAGAGTAAGTAAGTAAGACTGAGTGTGTGCCCTTCTCAGGTTGCTGCAGTTTTGGACTGCTCCCACAACCCACTAGGGACACACAAACCCACCCTGAAAGTGAGATTCAGAGGCTATGTTAGGACGGGAGATTGCCAGGGTTCTATTGGAGGGAGATCCAGAGGCCACCTCCATTTCAAAATACAAGCGTGGCCATATCCCACACAGCCTGAGAACTAGGTTTGATGCCTTGGTCATTTCTGTATTAAACCAAAACATTATAAAACACACACACACACACACACACACACACACACACACACACAGGTGGTTTGCACAACTCCTATACAGAAGAATGGAGAAGCCAGTGTTGTTTGTTTTGTTTTAAGACGGGAGGGCAGCTGTGAGTTCAAGGCCAGCCTAGATGGCTGGGCCAGTTCCAGGATATCCTGGGTAAATAAACACCAATCGAAGACATAATAAAAGATAATTCTGAGTCCCCAGGAATCACCCTGTCCTGGGTAAGTAGAGATGGCCACCCACCTATAAGGAAGTCCGTTTTTATTATAAAAGAATAGTAACAACAATAATAGGGGAAAGTGGCAGACGCCACCTGAAAACACAGAATCAGAGACTGGCTTTTATAACAAACTTCTCAGCAGCTCCCTCAGTGTCCCCTAAAACTCTCAAGTGGCTGCTTCTGTCTGTGGCTGACACCAGGCTCGCGCGCGCGCGCGCACACACACACACACACACACACACAGGGAACTGGCTTTGAGGCCCATAGACCCAGGGAGGGGTGGGCTCACTTACTGCGTTCACACTTCGGCCTTGCTTTTCCCATGGCTTCCCAGCTGTGTATCCAGGGTTGACATTTTTCCGAGCTCCTTGTTGGCCGAGGCCGGGATCTAAGCGGCTGGCAGGCAGCTCACAGGACTGTGACTGTAAATGTCACTTTTAGATTAACCAGCCCCGGCTGTTTTAAAAATATCCCCCAGAGCATTTAACCTTCAAGGCACTGAGTGGCAGCAGTGACCCAGGCTGGGAGGAAATCACCTTACAGCAGCCCAGCAGGGCTGCACTGGGGCCCTGGGAGCCCTTCTACCTCACCCCAAAGCTCGATTTATTTCAGAATTCCTAGGGACTTAAACAAGAACCATCTAAGGCCCAAGGTGTCATAAGCAATCAGGGGAAGGTCACTCTGGCCTGTGAGTCCATCGTGAGGGAGGGTGGGAAGCTCCCCCAAAGCTGGCCTGCCACTCCTCCCCAACAAGGTTTTTACGAGACCCTCTGGAATCACACCCTGTGCGTGGAATGGCTCTAATATCTTGGGACTTGCGGATTAAAAAACAAGGCTGTCTTATTCAGGATTGGCTGGCTGGGGACAGCTGAGAAGAGCAGAGGAAACCTGCCCGTGTCGCTGTCACAGGGTGTTCTGAAACATGTGGGACAAAGGTCATCTCCGGGTCTCAACCCTGACTGGCAGCGGCAGGCAGGGAAACAGAAAGCACACACCAGCACCCATGTCTGTGACCACGGCTGTGCCACGTGACCATCTGCAGCGCCAATGACGAGCACAGAGTCTGTGCGGGGATGTTCTGGCCGCTGCAGCACCCGCTACCCTGCGTGGGATACTTCACTCCTCACTCGTGGGCTTCTTTTCCAGGAACGAAAAAAAAAAGACAAATCAGCAAACAAATCAGTTCTTTCCAGTGGACTTTAGAGCAGGAAGCGGACTTCACGCCGTTATTCATGTCCGCTTCAAGCTGCGGTGGCGGGGGCGTCACTGGCTATACACCTGTATGGAGTCCAGGGTTACGCACGCCCGATACTGGACAAGCAGTAGCCTCGCATCGCTCTTAGACTGAGGTTCCCTGGAAAGCGCATGTCCTAGAAAGCCATGTGCGACTGAAGAACGCATTTCAGATAACCTCATCAAACACGTTCCCGTGTCGAGGGTGCAGCTGGCAAGGGAGCTCTGGCTTAGCGTTTCGGGTCCTTGGTACCCTCTCCAGTGACTGTGTTACGATGACCTGCGCAGGGTGCTGAGAGTGGAAAGGTTACGGAGCTCTGTCACCAGGCTGACTCGAGTCCACTCCTTCCTTGCTGATGGCCTTGAGGTCGCCTGTCCTCATCTGCCATTCAGCACCCAGTTGAGAAGATGCTGAGACTGGGCTCCCAGCATGCTTTGCTCGTAACCCCCTCTTCTTGCTGATGTGTTTTATAGGGACAGAGTCTCACTTCGGCCTAAGCGAACTGTAACTCATGCAGCCCCAGCTGTCCTAGAACCTGTGGAATCAGGAACTCTGGGATGCTGGATGACAGACGTGAGTGAACCACCGCTCTTGGCTGATCCTTCTAACGGACCCTCGTTACCCCCTGCTAGGTAATGGCACCAAGCACCTGTGATCCCACCAGAAGCCAGACAGTGCCGACATCGCAGGCAAACCTGGTCTACAGGTTGGGTTCCAGGCTAGCCAGAGCTGCCTCATAAGACCTTGTCTCCAAAAAAACCAATGAAAACAACCAAAAGAAACCCACTCTGTTATAGACACAGACACGGAGAGCTGCACGGCTGTCAACAGTCTTTAGTATGTAGACTGTTCTACAGAGTATACTCTGCACATCCATGAGAGTGGGGCTGTCGGTAAAATGCCTACTGTGTGTAAAATGCCTACTGTGTGAGGGTCACATAATGGGTTGGCCTAATGCTGCTTGTATTCTAATGCTAATTTGGGGCCCCTGAGACTGGTTACCCTAAAAACAAGAGAGTCCACATGTAAGACACTGAGTGACCCTGCCCCCAGTTTATTGTGATTGGTGAATAAAGAAGCCAACAGCTAATGGCTGGGTAGAAGAGACAGAGTGGGGTTGAGGTTTCACAGGCTTGGGTGAGAGAGGACCACGAGGAGGGAGAAGAAAGAGGCCGCCATGGAACAGAAGAGCCGGGCAGTGGTGGCACATGCCTTTAATCCCAGCACTTGGGAGGCAGAGGCAGGCAGATTTCTGAGTTCAAGGCCAGCCTGGTCTACAGAGTGAGTTCCAGGACAGCCCAGGGCTACACAGAGAAACCCTGTCTCAAAAAAAAAAGAAAAGAAAAGAAAACAAAAGAAGAAGGAGAAGGAGAAGAATGTGCAGGACAGGAGAAAGGAGAAGCCTCTATGGGTTAGCTGAACTGTAAAATCATGGGCCTGAGGGCTGGCCAATAGGAGCTAGGAACAGTCCGGATGAAACAGTAATAACTCAGGCTTATCCATAGGAAAATAGATTCTAATAGCATAGAGGGTAGATATCTGCCCAACGCTTGTGTTGTTTAAGGCTTATTGTAAATATAAAGGCTGTGTGTGTTTTTCATCCGGGATCTCAATAACCAAAGGCAGGGTAGTAGCCTGGATTTTTAAAATAGTTTTTTACTACAAGGTAAGGATCGAGTTCAGAGTCTCTGTACCTTTGTAAAGCTTGGCGTGACGGCTCGTCTGTAATCCCTCGAGCTGGGCAGAGGTGGGGACTGAGGGAGAGGACTATGTGGGCGGGCACAGTGGATTTCCAGAGCCCAGTTGGCTGGCCAGTGTAGCCGTGAGCTTTACGTTCAATAGCCAACTCTGACTCAAACACTAAAATAAGGTGAAGGGCCAGAGATAGCCCAGTGGCTAAGACACTTGCCACACAAACACGGAGACGAGAAGTTCTGACTTAAACTGGGTGGCTCTGGTGGCCTTCATGAGTTCAGAAAGCAGCAGCAGATAGCTGTAGAGCTGGCTGGGCTAGCCTCAGTCAATACGGTGGAGTGCCGTCCAGGAGGGCTCCTGATGTCCACTTTGAGTTTTCACACATGCGTGTACACAGAAACTCCCTCACACGTGTAAACATGCATGCATGCATGCCGCACACTCACAAAGGAAAACAAAGCCAAAAGCATTAGACACATCCGACAATGACAACCCCTGGGCCCCACACATGTACACACATACACGCATGCACAGGTGTGTGCATGTGCACACACTATACCCACTGAAAAGGTCGCACGGAATTATTTGTACAACTAATACACTGTCTCAAAAGATGTATTTTCCAGAAGACAAGAAGAAGGGCGAGCACTGCTAATGAATTCTTTACACCAAACACAAGGATCTTAATAGAAAGTCTTCTCTTCAAACCTTAGGTTCAGAGGCGCACATTCCAAACGGTCCTGCCAGGCAAGTGGTACAGGGGAACATGGCCGCTGCGGCCAATCGGTACTGCAGTGAACTCTAGAGACGCTGCAAGTCCTGAGGCCTGAATTAAAACGTCAGGGTTCTGCGGAGATGTCTCCAGTGAAGCTTCCAACCCTTCCTCTGCTTGAGGCACTTGGCCAACGTACCTGTCTCCCTGTTACCCTCTCCGTCACGGAGGTTCAGAAAAAACTGGAAAGCCATGACTTTATCCCAGGAGAGAACTGGAGAGAGCAAGGAATTTGGAGAATCAAGAACTCACCAAGAGAACCGCATCGACTTGGCCCTCCCTGCTGGGCTCAGGTCAAGATCAGGGAGTGAACTTTCACACAATTAATTTACAACTTGAGGTTCCCAGGATGATATTTGCATAACTGACTTCCTTACTCCAGAGGGAGGTGACAGGAACCATTTCTCTCAGGTAATTCATCACAGACTTCTGTATTAGGGTTCTCTAGAGTCACAGACCTTATGGAATGTCTCTCTATATTGAGGGAATTTATTGTGATGACTTACAGTCTGCAGTCCAACTGACCCAACGGGCAGCTGTGGACGAGAAGTCCAAGCATCTAGTCATTATGCAGTCCCACGAGGCTAGTTGTTTCAGCTGGTCTTCTGTAGAAGTAGGTTCCAACAGATGAGCTGGTAAGTGCAAGCAGAAGACCGAGTCTTCCTTCTGCCAATGTCCTTATGTAAGCCTCCAGCAGAAGGCGTGGCCCAGATTAAAGGTGTGTACCACCATGCCTAGATCTAGGATATTTGTCCCAGGCTGGCCTTGAACTCAGAAACTTCCTCACCTCAGTCTCCTGGGATTAAAGGCATGCACTACCTTGCCTGGGCCTAAGCTTTTCATGGCCACTGTGCCTCAAGATCTCCACACCAAGATCCAGGTCAGAAACTTGTGTCTTCCAGCTTCAAGATCTGGATCACAGATGAGCCCTCCAATTCTGGACTGTAGTTCATTCCAGATTGTAGTCAAGTTGTAACCAGGAATAGCCCTTATAGCTACCCACACTGTGCTACACAGAGACAGCCAGATCTGCACACGGTGGGGGGTAGGGGGACCTCTGCTACCTGGCCGTGTAGACCATGTATTGTTCTGGTCTGGCCAGGAAACCTTCATCTCCAGCTTGACCAGAATTAGGAACCCTTTCCTGGGTATTTTATTCCCACCCACCAGCAGAGTGTATGAGGTTTAGCAAGCTGTCCCAGGCAGGCCATATCTGCATTCATTACGTGCCGGGGTTGGGTGGGACAAAGGTAACTAGGACACACACAAATTGGATTAAATTCACATTACCACCCAATCACCCTCAAGCTCCAAGAACTCCTGTACACACTGCTCTTGACCATCTCTCTCACGGCAGTTCTGAAACTAGATGGCTGCAAACATAAAAGGTTTAAATCTACCTGGCCATTCTGTTCACTTTTGGACCCTGCTGAACTACAAAATTGCCAAGTGGAACTCCCTCCCCGCCCAATAAAAGAACCTACTGCCACATTCTCAGGGGGCAGAGTGGGGTTGGGCCTCACGTCCTTTAAGATGCTCAATCAAGCATGGTGGCCAACACCTAAAATTCCTGAACTTGGGAAGCTGAGACCAGATTGCTGTAGTTCAAAGCCAGTGTGGTCTCTTTTTCTCTTTTGGTTTTTCAAGACAGGGTTTCTCTGTGTAGCCCTGGCTGTCCTGGAATTCACTCTGTAGACCAGGCTGGCCTTGAACTCAGAAATCCGCCTGCCTCTGCCTCCCAAGTGGCCAGTGTGGTCTCTAAAGCAGTATTTTCACATCTATTCACTG